TGTTGTTTTTACTCAGATGTCGACGAATGCACTGCTTCCTCTCCCGTCTGTGATGTCAATGCTCAATGTTCGAACACTCGTGGGTCTTATAGCTGCAGATGCAAAGTTGGTTATTCTGGAAGCGGAAAAACTTGCAAAGGTCTGTGCGGAGGTGGTAGCAATTAAACAGCTTTTGCAGTGAGATAAGAATAAGCAACACTAAAATTTGTCTTGTCCCGAAAATTCGAACTGGTAGCTCGTTCTACCTCAGACGAATTGTGTTTTGAATTCCAAAACAATATCAAATCTGAATTTTGAACGACCTTTAGTTACGGACTTCTGCTCCAACGATTTCTCTGAAATTTCTCTGGCATATTTCAGTACTAGGGTAATGCTGTTAAAAACGGTCACAACACCTACAACATTCCGCAAGCACCGCAACAGCAACAAAACTTTCCGCCGCAACACTACAATGTACAGAGCTTCTCACCGTCTCACTTAGGGGCAGTAGGACCGATTCCTTCTGTTCCTCTCCAAAACGACTGTGCTGTTGGAAAAGCCCCAGCAGTTGAAATCCCAAAGGAACTGGTATCTTTAATCCAATTTTTTAAGACCCTTGTATAATATCTTATACATAACCCACGACTTTCAATGCTAGTTGTTAGCTAGTTTGCCGGGATATCTGATTTAAGCTTTCCTTTCTTCAGGTACAAAGGTTGATAAATATGCCAGGGCCCTTAAGTTTCCCCAGCAAATTATCTTTTTTTGCTTGGGACATTAATGGGCTATCGTCGAAATTATTAGGGGAAAAATTGCAAAATTTGGATTGTAAAAACATGATTAATTCTTTTGATTTCGTAATTCTCTCCGAAACATGGAAAAAAGTGACTGTTGAAGTAAACGGTTACAAGATTGTGACTACAGATACCTTGAAAACAGGAAAATGCGGACGTAACTCGGGTGGATTAGCTCTGCTCTGCAAACTAAAGTTTGACGATTGGATTTCAGTGCAAAAAGAATCACCAAATTTTTTATGGTTTAAAATTAGTAATCGCTACACAAAAACTACAAAAGACATTTATGTCTGTGGAACGTACATTCCACCATACAATTCTCGCTACTTTCGACCTGAACTATTTGAAGAGCTTGAAAGCGACATCGAGAAATTCCCCTCCCTTGGTTCAATTCTTATTATGAGAGACTTTAACTCCAGAGTAGGCAAACACCCGGACAGTGTTTGTCAAGAAGGTAATAAGATAATAACAAACGATTTTTCTGAATCTTCGTTGTGCGCCACCCAACGAAAAAGTTTTGATAATGATTTGAATAATCATGGAAAACGACTCTTGGAAATTTGTAGAAGCGCGGACTTAAGAATTTTAAATGGTAAGAATTAATGGCGACTCGCTAGGCAGACCTACATTTCATTGTAAATCGGGAATCAGTCTCATTGATTACTCCATATGTGACCAAGATTTGCTACGAAATATAACATCTTTTATAGTGAAAGAGCCGACCAGTTTATCAGATCATAGTCCAATAATAACATGGCTTAAGGTTAACCGTCATTTAGATAATGATTCATCAAACGAGGCAATTATAAATGATTCTTTGACTCCTCTAACAAAACAGTTTTTTGGGGAAAACGATTCGTCAAAAAAATTTAGAGCTACATTACAGTCTTAAGACATTCAAAGAATGATCCACGAGAATGCTACAACAATCACGAGAAATGTTGACATGAACCTTGACTCCGGCAGTAGAAAATATTCTTATTTCAACCGCAAAACGCTGTTTGAAAATCAAAACAGCAAAAAAGCGACGTTGCAAAATATCTTCGAACAAAAAATGGTTCGACAAAGAATGCCGCTATAAAAGACATGAACTGCGGAAACTTTCTAATCAAAAACACACAGATCCTCTAAACAATACCCGGAGGGAAGAGTACCACAACGTCTTGAGCAATATAAAAACCTTTTGAAACATAAGAGAAACGAATACTATAGCAATAAGATCAGTGAAAATGCGGTCGAAAATTCGAACAATAAGAGCTTTTGGAACTGTTTGAAGTCAATGGACGACACTATGAAGGAAACCTACACCCCTCCACTTTCTGAAGAAAAATGGATGTCCCACTTTCAATTTTTGCACTCCAATGAACCCCTTAAAGAACAGCAGGAGGCAATTATTGATGAGTTGCAGAATTCAAAGGATATTACAACACGATCTCACTCCTTGGATTACCCTGGGCTTATTGTTATACGTCTTCGTAAAGGGGTTTTAGAAGGGCTTATAAACGGAGGGGCTTACATTCGAAACAAGCTATAGTACTGCTTATCAAAATACGTTTTGAGGGGCTTTTATAAGGGTGAGCTTTGAATAAGATGTATTGTTTACAGGTAGATGGGACGTGATTGGGTGGGGGGGAGGGGAAAGGGGGTTGGGGGGCTTACATTTGAGGGGCGTTGATTAGCGGTAGTTTATGGTATATATCTCAGTTGGTAAGATAAGCAAGAGTTTGTATATCAAGGCTGGATAAAGACTACAGTAAAACGCCGCGAAGAAGAACCTAGATTTTTTGAAGTTTGGCAAAATACATTCTTATAGTTTGGAGTACTTATTGGAAGTTTAGGCTAAATAGGTTCTTAATTTTTATGATGAAGGATACTGTTGTTGATTACAAGAAATTGCTATAAATGGTATTTGTCCTTCATAATAGGCATTTATTTACCAAAAATCTAACAAAACTAGGTTAACAGCTAGAAGATATGCAGTTTTCAACAATGGTTGTATACATTATACATTTATTATATATATTATATGTAGGAAGCTCTGAATAACTAATTAACTAAATAACTAAATAAATGAATAAATAAGTAAACTAGAAATAGTATAGTTCATGACCTCTTGACAGCAGTCCATCAATGTTAATAATTTCCCATATTGAAGGAAGACTTTTGGTCAAAATGTTTATGAAAATGTAGTATAACCCCAAATATAAGAACCTGTTGAATTTCTTGGCTAAACTGGTTCTTATATTTTGGAGTATTAAAATGACAAATTTCTGCCAGCAGGTTCTTAAATCCTAGGTTCGTCTTCGCGGCTTTTTACAGTACGGCGTCTTTAGTCTCGATTTGAACAATAAGCCATCAAATCCACGTTACTTCCAAAAAGTGTTCAATAAGTTTCTTTGAACGCCTTGGTACAATCATTCGTAAGTGTAATTATTATTTACATATGGAAATCTATTTACTATCATAATTATATCATATCATAGTGGCATACTGCTCGCTCGTGAGCATGTGATAGGAAAGTCAGAGATGTAAAAATGAGGTTTCAAATATATGCCGATACCTCAAACGTTGTTACACCTATAAAAAAATAAATAACAGTTTCTTAAAGTTCCATCACTATTTATTAAGGATGCAAAAAATCGTAGAAATCGTTTGACTCTTTCATTCTGAAAAACGCGAATCAAAAACGTAACCAACAAGCATATAAATAGGAACGGGCCACCTTAAATCGTAAATCGTAAAGGATGAATACATTTATAGTAACAGTGATTTATCCTCGAATTGCTGATCGTTATTCCTGTAACATAGAACTATTATCCCCAAGTGGAATACTGCTCGTGAGCATGTGATAGGAAAGTCAGAGATCTTGAATATATCATCGTGCGAGAGGGTTTTCATTGCAGTTGAAAATTGGATGGCGAAGTGTTCTCGAACTAGCGGGCTTATTTCGCCTCAGAACGAGAACCTTTGAAGCTAAAAACGGCCAAGCGGTTTCTGCAGATGCTGTGTTTTGGTTTCGTAATATTTTTGTCGAAAATGAACGAACAAATGCAGAGTAAGTTGGATAAATAGAATATATTGAATTTCAACGCGCATGTAGCAGAAAGTTGGTTGTGTTCGCCGTAGTTGCCCGATTACTCATTTTCTTCCAAAAATGCTTTGGGTAAGAACAACGTTTCAGTTAAGAGGTAGTTTGACAGCTCTCTTACGCTATTTGTGCGTTTACGTTCACAAATGTGTAGGCCTATCATTTTAGCATTAAATTTGATCAACATTTTGTTGAGCGATTTCTACGGTCACGATTGCCTTCAAACTTGCAGACATAAAACTAGAGAGCTCGAAGGCGTATTTGCTGAGGTTAGGGAAAATCTGTCGTGGGATTTCGAAGTTATTTTCATTTTTCGTAAAAATGAGGTTTTAAATATATGCCGATACCTCAAAAGTTTTTATACCTATAAGAAAACAAATACCATTTTCTTAAAGTTCCATTATTATTTATTAAGGATGCAAAAAATCGTAGAAATCGGTTGAATCTTTCATTCTCAAAAACGCGAATCAAAAACATAACCAACACGCATATAAATAGGAACGGGCCACCTTAATGGTGCCGAAACCGGCGACACTAATCGTGAAATAGCACAAATCTTAGTAATCCTACGGATAATCAGTTACGACGGATATTTCCAAGAGCAACCATTGTCTATAGTCCATCCTCTTAATATTCTGTTGCTAACGAATGTGAAAGTGACAGGTCTGACACGAACGAGGTTTATAGTAACTAACCGTAGAACTGGTTATGTAGGAATGCCAGTTTAGAAAATTTATAGAAAACTACTTTTGGTACTTCAACTGAGTTCATGTTCGTCCGAACCACTTCCCTTTTCGCCCTCATTTGAATACACGATTGAGCCTTATGGTTAGCTGTGTGCAAAGGCAAAAATAACTAGCCTGCGTGTTTGGTTTCGAAGTAAAAAAAGACCGAGGAGCGGGATTCTCGGTTTTGGCCGTGCGAGAGATACAAAAAAGGGCCAAAAAATCTCTATTTCCTCGTTCTTTGCTCCTAAACCGCACGGACGCTGGGTAAGCAGGCTAAACAATAACAATTATTCTTTTATTTTTTCAATTATTCTTTTATTATTTTATTTTTTCCAAAAAATCGCCCTGGTTTTTATTTTGTGATTCTAAAAATGAATCATTTGAATTTATTAATTGTTAATTATTTGTTTAGATTTCAATGAGTGTGAAAAAAAGACACACAACTGTCACCCGCTTGCTGCATGTGTGAATGAACCTGGATCTTATTCATGCAAGTGCAAGCCTGGGTACGTTGGAAATGGATATAACTGTCGCTATCCAACGCCGAGATCCTGCTCTGAAATCCGGAGTTCCGTCAGCACAGTCAGCAGGAACTATGTCATTGATCCAGATGGTGAGGGAGGTCTGGCACCTTTTACTGTGTTCTGTGACATGACTGACAAGAATGGTGTTGGCGTTGCTGTTATCAGTCACGACAGTGAAAGCAGGACATTGGTGACAGGTTGTGAAAAGCAGGGGTGTTACTCACGTGACATTCATTACACAGGAGCTAATCTGTCTCAGCTGGCGAGTCTTACCAGAGTTTCCTCGCACTGTGAACAGTTTATAAAGTATGAGTGTTATGACTCCGGTTTTTGGTTTAACAATCCACATGGATGGTGGGTGTCACGTGATTCTACTAAGATGACGTACTGGGGCGGAGCATCACCTGGAAGTGGTAAGTGCGCATGCGGGATGACCAACTCATGTGCCAACACCGGAGATCGTTGTAATTGTGATAAGAATGACAATGTATGGCGTGAAGACAGCGGTCTCCTGACTGACAAGACAAAGCTTCCAGTAAAACAGCTCAGGTTTGGTGATACTGGAAGTAGTCACGAGAAAGGCTACCACACTCTGGGGAAGCTGAAATGCTATGGTATAGCATAAAAGCGTATTTTCTATGAAACGGAAACAAACCTGTTAGAATAAATTAGAGGCATTTTTAGTTTTCATGTAACAGTAGTTTTTAGGATTTTTTGAAGATCTGCGTAAAACATGTAACAGAGATTTCCAACTGCTCAGAAAATCAGCGTCTTTTTTGGGTATTAGACTGTTAAGGTGGCTCCGTAATTAATACAAGAGCATTTAGCTGTGACAAATTTTCCGTCATAACTTTTTGGTTCTTAACGCGATGACTGCGAAACTTTGCAAAGAACAACATATATCATTCGGCAATAATACGAAATATTCCGATTTCATTGATGGTAAATATTTCTTGAGAAATTAGCGCTTAAAAGGACCCTAATGTTCGAAGAAAATCGCGTCTAGTAAAAATTTTGCTGATATTTTTTACTGAAATTTCTGGTATCGGCTTTAATTGATATAATAAATATGCCAGAGGAATTTCAGAAAAATCGTTGGAGCAGAAGTCCGTAACTAAAAGTCGCTCAAAATTCAGCTGTGAAATTGTTTTGGAATTTCAAAAATAAATTACTATCAGGTAGAAGGAGCCACCAGTTTGAATTTTCGGGACAAGTAAATTCAACGTTTGCTAATTCTTAAAACAAAAGCCGATTGCCTATCGTGCTGTTCTTTAAAAGGTACTTTTTAGTTTTAGAAGCACCATAAATTGCTCCAAACCTTGCTCTGAAGTAGAATTACTTGTTCTTCGACATTTTTAAAATATCCCTTTGCAGTTTTGGCTCAAACTCCTGCTGCATACATTTTGACGTATTGCAATTCATTTTCAACGACTTTTACTGCTGTTCGTTGCTTCCAACTCAGGAAAAAAGTATTGAGATTGGACGCTACCTCGTATCAGAGCTCAGATAGAACTGTCCAGCACCTTTGTTTATGACTACAAAATGAGCACGAGCGGCAGTTCTGCGAGGAATTCGCACCTCACCCAGGGGGGACGAACGACAATGATGACCATGCCTGTGAACCGAATAACATCACAGTGCAAAATAAAATTATCGCAAAAATACTGCCCGTGAATAAATTTACAACTCTGAAATTTTTGTCACTCCTTCCTTCAATGAATGGGTATTTTTTCTTGATTATTATGTTTTCCTCTGCAATACATCTTTATACAGATCGGTTCACAAACATGGGTATCATTATCATTCGTCCCCCCTGGCTGAGGTGCGAATTCCTCGCAGAGCTGCCGCACGTGCTCATTTTCTGGTCATAAACAAAGGTGCTGGACAGTTCTATCTGAGGTTCGATACAAGGTAGCTTACAATCCCAATACCTTTTTCCTGAATTGGAAACAACGTACAGCAAGAAAAGCCGTTGAGGATGCATTGCAATACATCAAAATGTATGTAGCAGGAGTTTGAACCAAAACTGCCAAGGGATATTTTAAAAATGTCGAGGAACAAGTCATTCTACTTCAGAGCAAGGTTTGGAGCAATTTATAGTGCTTCTAAAACTGAAAAGTACCTTTTAAAGAATAGCACGATAGGCAATCGGCTTTTGTTTTAAGAATTAGCAAACATTTAATTTACTTGTCCCGAAAATTCAAACTGGTGTCTCCTTCTTCCTGATAGTAATTTATTTTTGAAATTCCAAAACAATTTCGCAGCTGAATTTTGAGCGACTTTTAGTTACGGACTTCTGCTCCAACGATTTTTCTGAAGTTCCTCTGGCATATTTATTATATCAATTAAAGCCGATACCAGAAATTTCAGTAAAAAATATCAGCAAAATTTTTACTAGACGCGATTTTCTTCGAACATTAGGGTCCTTTTAAGCGCTAATTTCTCAAGAAATATTTACCATCAATGAAATCGGAATATTTCGTATTATTGCCGAATGATATATGTTGTTCTTTGCAAAGTTTCGCAGCCATCGCGTTAAAATCGAAAAAGTTATGACGGAAAATTTGTCACAGCTAAATGCTCTTGTATTAATTACGGAGCCACCTTAAAATTCCTTTCAGTATATACACGAGCCAAGCCAGTGAATAGTGCAGTTTCGCGCGCCCTTATCTATTCACCTCCAAGCAAAACAAAGTGGCTTCATCTGTGAATTCCTTTGCGGGGGTCAATTTACTTTGTAAGTCGCTTTCTCGTTTTCTCTTTGCTAATCTGCAACCGCGAATATGTAATAATAAAAAAAACAACAACGAGTAGTGCGATAAAGTCAGAAAGTGGACGAACTGGTGCAAGGAATTGAAAAGGGGATGAATCTGGTCTCTTATAAATCGAAGTGTCAAAGAAAAATAAACCCCTGATATAAAGCAAAAATTGCACGCTATTTAAGAAACCATTTAATCATGCATGCACAGGTATACGGCGCACAGGTATACGGCGAAGCTATTTCAGTTTCCAGTCACCCAAGACAAGAGAAACTTCCTCGTAACCTTTCAAATTTGCTTTCTTGTTTGTGATAATGCACTTCAATGACGCACATCTTTCCGAGGCCATCCATCTTAACCCGTAACATAAAAAACAGGTAGCTTCCCATTAATCCTCCAAATTCTCGATACCCACCTTGATTTTCACGTATTATAATAAACATAGAACTGACGCAGCCTGCTGAAATCTACCAGCGTACGTGCGTATGTCCACCCCTAGGAGTCCAAGGCATATGGAGGGTTTTCACTCACGTGGCCAGCATCTATGTAAATTTATTGGAACAAAGAAAATTTTTGACATAGGAAAAGAGTTCAACTACCACAGGACTGGTTTGGAACACAAACATACCCGCCGTTTTATTGTTTTGGAACACCATTATGGCCGCTGTGACGTCATGTGGAAACGTTCTATACTATCTGTGTTAAGTTTGGTATTGGACATCCATGTTATTGACAATTGACAGCTGTCAAAAAGTTATCAGCTGATCAGTGTCACAAGACTGCATCGCGGGCTCAGGAATATAACTCATGGAGGTGACGTAGTTTTTAAATTATCCGCTGACCATCAGCGGGCTCAGGTCCATTTTTGAAAGGTGGAATTCAGTTTGCTTTCTGCTTACGACAAAAAATGAATTTCTCGAGGAAGACATTTCTTAAAACATTCCTCGAGAGATCATTCCTCGCTTTTGGCCTTAGCTAAATCTGTCTATTACAGATAAATACGTTGGTGTGCTTTGCGAGGGAGCATGGGCTTCTTTTTTGGTGGTGAATTGCTTCTGGGGCCAGGAGTCCATCTTTCACTTTTCATTAGTCACTGAATAACTCAAAAAAATAGATCCAAAACGACACATGACACTTGAAGCTAAGGATAAGCGGTCACACTTAGGAAAGAACTAACATAACCGTCCCCTTTAAACAGTATTACCCTTACATACAGGTTGGACTTGTCTAAGCGAAGTGAATCGTGAAAAGGATCGTGACAAAATAGCATCCATCGCAAGAGAAATCCAATTGAAAGTCATTTTCATTTCTCCTATTTTCAAAAAGGAAGAAATCATGGACAATAACGGGCCATATTAAATGCATTTTCTACGCTGGACTGAAACCTCTTGACAAAGAGTCTGTGAAACGTACAGTACGAAAATCCCGGGGAGGGGGGCACTTCCTAGTAATAGGCTAATGGGGATGTGCCACTGAATGGGGTCGCATTTTTACGACTGGGTTGAATATAAAGGGGTCGCATTTTCAATAGAGTTACTACAATAAGGTCGCACATTTTCGGGATTTTGGGGGAAAGAATATTCCGGTAATTAGGGATTTCAAACAGCGAGGATTGTCACATGTGTAATGAATGTGCCAATTCATTTCCGGATGACCTTTATAAAAGGCTTTTATAAGGCAAATGCAAAAACAGTTTGGCTTGCAAAAATTACCTTTATCCAAAAGTGACTAATGTGGGGTTTATAATTGGTCACAGAATGGACTATACTGTTCGGTGGGCCTATACCTTCTAACTCTCACTATAAATATGTCAAGTCTCACCCCTGTGGAATGAAGACATTAATTGCTCTTGCGCATCAAGGACAATTATTTCTCACACCTTACTCACAAATCCAGACAAATTGTTGTTAACGCATGTTAATAACCAAACTTTAATTCAATCCGAAAATTACTCCAAAAATTAAAGATGCTTAATGTTGACTTTGTGTCCCAATTGTATCACAACACGCTTAAATTGTTGCCTTTTAAATAACTTCGGAAAAGCTCAAAGATTGCCCAGACATCTTTGGACATATTGCCGGCATACTTCAGAAGTCTTTGGAAAATCATGGGAAATCCTCAGAAGTCATTGAGACGTTATTGAAAATTCCAGTCAAAAGTCATTGAGCCAAAACTGCAAAGGGATATTTTAAAAATGTCGAAGAACAAGTCATTCTACTTCAGAGCAAGGTTTGGAGCAATTTATGGTGCTTCTAAAACTAAAAAGTACCTTTTAAAGAACAGCACGATAGGCAATCGGCTTTTGTTTTAAGAATTAGCAAACGTTGAATTTACTTGTCCCGAAAATTCAAACTGGTGGCTCCTTCTACCTGATAGTAATTTATTTTTGAAATTCCAAAACAATTTCACAGCTGAATTTTGAGCGACTTTTAGTTACAGACTGAGTGAAGTCCGATACTGTTGGTAATAATATGAGTGATTAACAAAATCAGACAACCACGAAGCCGGGTCTGATTTGGTTACTTACAATTATGATTATAGACTGAATTGGGAGAATCTTGTTTTCCGGCCTTAGAGTGATTCACTTACACAACAGCAGTAGATGAAGACTCTTAAGAAAGCTTGTAGTGTTCCTTCGACCCCCACTATCCTTGATAAACGTATAAACAGGATTACACCAAGGATGTTCTAGGTTGCGGGAAGGAACACGCCCATAAGTGTACCCATTTTGGCTGGCAACAGTCAAAAAGTAAAGCACAAAAATTATTAACAATTTAATCTTAGTAGCCTCAGAATAAAACCTCTGCTGTGTTTTAAGTTCTTGTTCTTGTTTGGTTTGATATTATCTACTACCTGTAGCTTAATAATGAGCTTATTAAAATGTTCCTTTGATAAATTTACTTATTTATTCATTGCATAAATCAATTTATAAGCATTGAAACTTTCATTTGCAACCACCTCACCTAAGGTAAAATGCTGACAAGTGACATGTTGCTGCGACAGCGCATGAGCGATACAAAGCGGCAGATAAAATGGCAACAAACAACACAAAAAAACATCAGTTGAAATTGTAACAGCAACAAAGCTCAGAGCAAATATAAAGAATAATATAAAATATAAAAAACAACAGGTTTTGAAATTCAGACCAGGGACACATGTACACCCCCCCTCCACAGGGACCTCTTATAAAAGCTCTCTATAGACACACGCACACAAAAAAATCCAGTACTTTTCCAAGCACTATATACCATGTAGTGACACCTCTTTTACGAGAGGGCCACTCCCTTAAAGGGGCCACAAAATTTTAGGCAGTTGCCAATAAACTCTAAATATTTCTTGCACTTATTTTAATGATTAATTATTATTATAACATAGCGCGCGTGCTTGCCCTATATAATTCCTATTGAGCCGCTATGAACAAAATCTTTATTTACGCACGCCCGTGCGTAAAGAAGGATTTTTTCATGATGACGTGTTCAGCTGTGTTTTTCGTCTCTTTTCCTTAGTACCTAAAAATCGACGGCAATGATGAAAAACGTACTAGATTGCTCATGGCTTTAGCTGTTTATCGAGTTTGGATGCACTAGAGTTTCTCTAGAGTTCCTCGAGGCGCTTACGCATCTTTGGTGCTCTCCAAACTTCCCGCGTGCATCCATAATTCGCTACATGAACAAGTTCTTAAATTTACTTTAAGAACGCTCTCGCTGCGACCCTCAGACTTCATTTATATCATGAAGGGAATTTTTATTTACTTTAATGTAAGCCTATTTACTTTATAAGCTTAATACTACTCCGTATTTTAACCTTATATCTATTATTTACGCCATTTTCAAAGAAGAATTTGCATAAGACCGAAATGTACACAAACGACAAAGCGATCACAAGACTCTGCTTTGTTCAAAGCAATATGGGCTTTTTATTTTCATTTCTACCTGAGAGGCTCTCGTCGTCTTCGCTTCAGCTCCTTCTTCATCGTCTTCTTCAGTAGGAGCCACAGCTTCGTACCTTGATAAACTCTCGAGCAACGTCAAAATCTTCGGTCGTCTTTGAATTTCATCCTGTACGAAACAGAGAGCGAAAGGATTATAAAATCAACAGTGTACTTGCGTAATGAGGTTAAAAGCGCTCCAAAAAGGAAAACCCTCACGATTTAATCGATCATATGAACAGAGTTTTAAAATACCTCATAAAACGCTAGATTTCCCGCGTTCCCGGGGACCAAAACCTCTTTGAAGCCCTTGTTTCCTAATCTCTCGGGCGCTGCAGGATAACAAAATCGTAGGAAACCTTACGCGTACACTACCAGCACGAGACAGAAAAAGCAATGATAAGTCCACTCCAATTTTACAATTTTCTTTACAAACTGTCGTCTTAAACCAGTGGGAAACAACAGCAGAATAGCAGTCTGACAAAAATCCACTGACCAACTGAAGTGTGACAAACAATGAGAGAGATTCACATGTGGTGAACGTTTCACAAAATACGCTTACATGGCTCGATGATATCCGTTGACAGATTGACTCGTCTGTAAGTATCCTTTAGTTCTTTGTTTCCATCAGGATCGGTCTTCGACACTTTGAAGCGATTCTTCCACGTTTCCTTGAACAAACAGAAAACTAAAACACAGCATACTAAAAAGTGCAGAAACCAAACACTGAAACACAACGCAGCTTTCGCCTCACTCTATCCGTGAGTACTGTTTGCTTTCGTGTGTAGAATAAGAGGAAACAGGGAAAGAAAGGCCGATGAGAATTGACTCTTCTCCTTTAACAATAACATTAGTCAAACATTTCCATTTAAGCCAATGAGTTTGAAAAGAGAAAAATCTTTGTAAATACTTCCATTCTCCTGAAATAGAAGGTTTGAAAACCAATAAATAAGTCACTTACGTCTGTCATGATTTTCTTTGCGTGCCGGGTGGTTCACTGAGTCAGCTTGCTGTGAGTCCTGTGAGATGCATTTTTTCAGTTTTCCGTTTCCCAATATTTCTTCCATCACAAATCGAATATTTTATTTATATTTTTAAGGAGTCTATGACTGACTGCGTTTGAAAATGCAAACATTTTATTGAGCATGGCTAAACTCCCGACATATATCATTCTAAACGGCTAGAGAGGACAGAATTTATCATAATTTATACAGAACGTTACACATGTTGACAAAGTTTATACCGTATAATTATATCCGAACTACTCAATTTCCCAACCAGAAAGGGAATTAAAAATTAAATAATGCTCCTATATTTCAAAATACGTAGTTTTTTTTTACTCTACACAAAATAAAGCTGATTTAAACGGCTCTGTGATTACAGCGGAAGTAAAATATAAATCAGTGAGGAACTGTCTTGAGGAATGAAAGAGTCCTAAAGCAATGAAAACAACATGTCCATGGACAAAATTTTCATGTTTCAAGTGTTTACAAAAACAAACCTATCAACTTTCTACACGCCAGACTTCTCTCTTCACCAGTGTAAAAGTGAGCTTGCTGTATAGCCTTTCGCTAATTACAACCGTAAAGCACCTTTGAAATTAGCTGGTTCGCATTAACTTAGAGTTTAAAAGACAGCCACGTAGTGGTAAGTGGAAAATCGTTGTTGTGTGTGATGAATTTGAAGAAAAAAAATTAGCAAATCATCTTAATTTGTAACATACAGGCACTCGCACAACTCATTGTCAATACTACTTGAACAGTCTCTATAATTTTAGCTCTACTTCAAAAACTTCGTAATAAAACTGACTATTACTATACTTGACCATACATTGCAATTCCATGAAACGACAATGAGCCGGCGGATCTACATGTGAACCTGGTAAATAGAATGCTCAGTAGCATTAGTTTGCCCCAATACTGTACGTAGCTCAGTAATTAGTTCAAATATTCGGGAACTGATCATGACTTAGTCGAAAGAAGATTGATTTCACGCGTTCAACCGTCGCGTCAGTTAAATAAAAAAGTAGTTTGTACTTTGGGTGGCTAATTTGTAAAGACAACTTGATACGAAGCTAATTGTAAGCATCACTCCTAAGTATCTTCCAGATTGGATCTTTCAGAGGATGAAAGAAGTCGGCTTTTTGCTGTTGCTTTCCTTGGTGTATCAGCCGAAATGCGAAAGTTGTAACTTCCCTTTTATGAGCGACTGTCACTTTTCAGCAGTGACAATGAAACCTGCTTAGCAGGCATTCCTACTGAAGAAAAACCTGACGGATGATTCTTCCTTAATCCGCCATACAGAAGTGCTTTCATTGGCTCTTTTATAATGAAGTTTTGAGCTGCTTGGTAATTTAAGCGTCATATAAATTATAAACCGCTTTCCTCCCCTCGCATTGTACCTCTTTTCGACTCTTTCAGGTCCAATTATTTGTTTCCGCCGTAGATCGAATGATCCATTTATCCTCAACCCTTTTTATGATAAAATAAAGACTACAAGTATTAATTTTAACGTGTTTTTGCTTAAAAAGGTAAAACGCAGTTGGGCTTAATGAAACGAGAACGCAGGCACAATTCCAAATACACTGAATGTGCGAAAATTCTTTGACTGGCTCCATATAACAAAACACACAAACTCCAAAAACTCAGAGAGCTTACAATTGTCACTGTCACACCACAGGGTCCAGAGGAGTTTCGTGTGAATAAATCAATTACTTATTTAAAGTCTCACCTTGAAAAATGTCTATACCTGCTGCTTAGCACGATTAATTAGCCCAATGGGATCTTTATAAATCTACTGTAAACGATTTCTTTGTTTCTTACCTGACCCAGATCGACTTTTCAAAATCAGTAACCGCAAGCAACATCCTCGCTGGCGCACGGCACGTCGCCCGAAGGGCGACCGAGGCACGAAGTGCCGAGTAAAAGAAAGGACAAGGGAGGAAACTTGTACCACGTGACTTCGTTCGCTGTGAACCGCATCACTCGGTGACAGAAGTGAATGAGACCGGAAACGCAAAAGCAACAGATCGCTGCTAATTCGAGAATCAAAACATCAGCTGCGGAGAGAATTTTAAAGAGATCTATGCGAAGGCAACAGAGTTTTAATTGAAGTGAAGATCTTTCAAGACTGGACATTTGTTGTACGTGTCAACAGTTTTCGATGTCTTAAGCAGGTTTTGCTTGTGCGAAGGCTTCCCAGTAGTCGCAAAACGCACAGCCAAAGACGCAAGAGGTAATATAGTTAGGACCACCGAAGAATGGTACAGACGTGATGATATTACAGTTGCCTTGTTCGTCCGCTCTACTCAGTGTCATGTTTTATTGCAAGAGTACACACGACCGTAAATCACTATCCGTAATAATTTTACATTCTCCAAACGAAAATATCGAGCTGGGCCCATCGTGATACAGCATTGCAGAAAAACATTACATTCACGGACTAAAGAAAATCGCTTAGTTATTCAGATCCAGAAGGCTCTTTGGAGAAAATTGGAACCCTTATTCAGCCGTAATAAAACGCTTTACTTTTCCAAAGAGGTCAAAGAAAATGCGCTTGCATCAGAGGGCAAATCCTGCCGACTAGAAACAATAACCACAGTAAATCGATATCTGTCATGACCTCTCAGTGTGAAACATGCGGCTAAAATCCCCGCTAAAATCACATTTGCTCAGTGAAAATGTAGAGCCTTCCAGAGCATAGTCTACCCAGCAGAGGAAAAAAACTTTATTGGAACAAGCGGCATTTGGCAAAAGTCGAGTAGGCTTCCCTTTTATTGCTCCGATCTTGAGCACATTTACTTTACTACGTCATTTCCGTCACCATCTGTTGCGGTGCACAGCGAACGAAAGCGCTCTCTCGAAGCCGTAAATTTCGGTCGCCGAAAATGAATTTGAACGCTTTTTTATGCCGTTTTCCTACAGTATTTGGCAAATACATAAGAATTCTAGATCAGGTTAGTAAAATCAGGCGATTTCATTCAATTCCATTAATATTTTGAGTTTCAGGGATTCGAAAATTGGCCCCAAATTTGTTTCCTCCCTTTCCGTATTTTATACTGTAAGCCGATCTTGCGAGCCCCCAGTCTCTTGGTTTGCGGTCTATAAAATGTGTAACGAAACTGCAACGCGATCAAAATAACCCATTTTTTCAGAGGTTTTCGACGGGTTTTGATGTTCTAACGACAAACACATCTCCTCTGGACCCTGTGGTCACACAAGTGTTAGTATTTTCGTGCTTCCCTTGGTAGCTAGCTTAGTTAACTTTGACGCATGCGCGATCTCGTTACCAGAGGCAAAGGGTTTAGTGACTGACACCCCGCATTTCACAAAGAAAACGTCAAACACATGACTTAAACGCAATGTCGCTACCAAAATGTCATACCTCACACAACGCACAATTACCGACTAGGAGAACAAATAAAGTCAGTAGAACTCGCAGATTTCGAGTCTGTCCAAATAACAGTTTCATTATTTCGAAAAAGACACCCGCTGCTTCTAACAAATTTCTCTACTTTGTTCATGACTGTCCAATTACAATTTCATTATTTTGAAAAAGGCAAATTCCTGCTTTCCAACATCGCGCAGGTTGAAAGTTGCAGTGCGAACCCACAGATTTTTTAAAATTTGAAGGTTAACTGAATAATTCTCTGCAAACTCGTTTGTTCTAGCTTGTCGCAGGAGGAGAAGTGGTCTCCTTTCAAACTGGAAAGTTTAACATGTCAGATAGTTTTCAAGACTGGATCTGCAGCAGCGCATGTTCACCACCTCAATACTGTCTTTTACCACGCTGCACAAAAATTCCATTCTCTGAAACATTTAGCGGATCAGAAAAGGTCAGTTAACTTTTCTTGACTAGATGCTGTAAAATACAACAAGAAAGACATAAGTGTTAAACGTGATATGTCAATGATGACCATAACATTACACCATTAAAAGGAGCGGACAACCTAACCCTAAATTTAGTTAATTACGCAAACAAAAGCACCCTCCATCTTTTGCATATTGTATTATTATTATTATTATTATTATTATTATTATTACTATTTAATATTTTGAGGTTCGTGTGCACGTATCTCTGAGTCATGGAAGGAATATTTCACGTGCTCACTCACCTGCTGCCTTGTGGGTTCAATCTATCAATACACGTGGATTTGAGGTATGCGCACGTGAGGCAGGCGATGGATCAAATGGAACTGGTATCATAAATTGGATGGCTTTCCAAGATCAACCACAAGTTACATCTGGCAGCATAGCGTTTGGTGGAATGTGGACAACAGAAACCAAGTGCGACAAAGTGACGTTTAAAAAGGTTAGTGTTAGAAGCACAAGGAAAAGCGTGGAAAATATATATTACTTTTCCATTTTTGCTATGCACTTCTAGGTCATCTATGTTGCAATTGTTAATCCAGTTGAGCCTGTGTCTCTGTTCAACATTTGTGACGTCCTAGCGACTATAATTTTTCCCTTTTATCTTACGCCTGTGTGGATTTATTCATTCCACGGTGCATGTGTGTATGATTGATTCTATCGAGTTCGCGAGACCGATTTATCAAATAAAAGAAACGATTGTCCTATGATTTTCCCTTTGATATACTGACGAAGATTTTAAAAATTCCAGAGCTTTGCTCCGAGGCCCTTTGTTTTTGTCTCGGCGAAGTACACTCGAGCTACAAAACCCAGTGATGCAGTGTATGTTTGGTTAGAGAACGTCAGTTCCAGAGGCTTTGAGGTGTGCATCAAGGAATTCTTACCATTTGATGGAAAACACCAAGATACAGTGGTGGTGGGTATGCCTGTTTGGTTTTCAATTGTTCCATGGCTCGGATAGCTAGATTTTGCTGAGGAAAAGTAAGAGCGCATGACTATCATTGTAGTCATCATTAGCACCTTATTCATCATCATTATCATTATCATCATAATCATCATCACGATCATCACTATCGTCAATATCATTATTTTTATGTAGCATTGTAATCAGCATCACTATTATTATTATCGTTATTATCATTATTACCTTAAGGATTGACATCATCATCATCACCATCACCATCAATGACCCTCCAGTTCTCTGCTGTTTTTCTGCGTCTTTCAAAGCCATGTCTCAGCAGCTTCCCGCAGATTAGAGATTCAACACTTTCCGCAAAATATGAGCTGCACCAAGGATGGCTGACAACTATGCACTTCCAAATATGTAAGGCAGACTAAACCTCCCATACCAGTCATTTGCTTCCAAGTGCACCAATATCGATGGGTATTACTGCCACTAGCCTCTTTGGATTCTTTTAATGTAATTTTGAGTGCTAGGTTTTGATACCTTTCCACCCTCTCCTCCTCAGTAATAAAGATATTTTGGTCCGTTGACACAGCAATGTAGATAACTAGTGTGCACTTTTATGTACCTTTGTGCACCACAGTAATATCTGGTCGAGCTTACTTCGGCCGCTTGTCCGTAGGAAGATAGTCATATCCCAAATTATCCTAACTTCTCCATTCTCTGTAACTGGTGAAGGTAATGGTAGTACCACTTGCCAGTACACTATAACCCATACTTTCTGCAAAGTTCCCAGCGTATATATTAATATCTCTGGCCAAGCTAAGCTTCCTTCAATATGTCATACTGTTTCAGTGAAGTCACCACAAAATCTGTACATTGGTGTGTCAGAGGTTTTATCTATGCTGTGCTTGACACAAATTGCTCTTAAAGCTTGTTCTTAAGCGGTGAGGATCAGTTCTGTTCCCTTTTTATAAAACAATTCCTGAAACGTCTCCAAAACTCCTCTCCAGCCACCTGAAGTCTGCCGAGCAAACTCTCCATGTAGGGCTTTTTCCTTCCAGTTCTTGACTTTCTACTCTTTCTTCTGGTAGTCCTGAGGGTTCTTTTCTTCAACAAGCACCTTCTCCTTTAAAGCCATTTGCAGCATCCTCTCTGTGCTCTCTCTCAGGTAGCCATGCAAGAATTTTCATTCACTCTTTACAACTCCTCAATACCAATGAACCCTCCCCTCTTCCTTCCTCGATCGGTAGATACCCTCTGGCGACATTTGTTATGGTGTGTAAACAGCCATTCAGTGCCAACATAACTACTATAAACAGCAAGGATGACAAGGAATAACTTGAAAGTGTACTTTCTGATGTCGACCTGCCCAAGCTTCCAATCACCTGATGTCAACACTGTCTTCAAGTTCATCATGCTATTGCTGAGAGATCATACTCTTGTCTCTTGTCTTGTTTCTGCTCGGTAATTTCTGTTAACTCAATGTGGAGTTAAGAGTTTTCCATGTACAAGTCTAGCATCCTTTTTCTTTAGCCTCGCCTCTTTGGCTCACTCCTGATGTAACACTCAAACAGTCGTTTGCTGTTCTCCTTTCACCACCTCAAATTCTTTTGAAGTCGTTCAACAGTAACAGGATGACCACCGGGCCTGCGTTGTTGATCTACAGGGCACCTGCCATACGCGACACCTTCGATGATCACCCCAGGTCTGTTGACGTTGTCAGAGTAAAATTGGACATTCTCTCATTAAATAAGTTGTGTTTTAAGGTTTCCTTTAACCAACAGTTTATCGTGCCACCATCACTAGACGGATTGCTAACCAAAGCTCAGAGAGATCAATCTACAAGATAGCCTATACCGTGCCAGACACCAACCTGGTGTTTTCTGGTATAGAGGGACCAATATCCATTTACAATATCCTCGTGGTTTCGGAACCTCGACGATGGTGGCATAGGGGTCGTTGGCTTATTATTATTAAACACATACAAACTACAATGTGTTTTGCCCAGCCGACACACACTGAATGAAAATACGCCTGTACGTTATACATGTATCTTACTATTTGGTTTAAATAAACTGAGAAAATTTTTCCATAAACTGTTAAAGGGAAATAGCAGTGTCTCGACGTTTATGTTTTTAAAATTTTATCATTTCAGGACTGGTTCGCGTTTGTGGGGAATGGTTCCAATTTTAATTTGACCATGACAGGAGAAGTTACCTTTCCAAACCTCGGCACACCGACATCATATGACAACTTTGGATTCTGTCAAGTACCTTTATTCTAATTTAATACTTACAGTTTGTCGGCTCCATATTATGATTTTGACAGCAGCTATTTGTCATTAGGTAAAAGCTGAACACCTGATAAAAGAAATCCTCATTGGACATTAATCCTTTCACCGCGTATACTAGAGTGAACAACAAAGTGTTATGAAGCTGTTCTAACCTTGGAATATATAATCAAGATACTGCGGTATTAAACCTCTGACAGCCCTTTAAAAATGATAGAATATTTTTTTTAAGACAGCACTTTACAAAAAGACACGAGGAGGTGTTGCGACATTTTTCCTTCTGTTTACTTTTGACAGAGAATGAGTTAAGAGTTTCAATCTTGATCCAAAAATAGCTCACACCATTTTCTGACTTAATCTCAATAGGAATCATATTTTCGCTGTCCTGGCAGTTTTATCAAATGAAGAAGTAGTACGTAATGAACTGTTATTTCCTTATTCACTGTTTTCACAGAATATTCATTACAACACCACCTTCTACGCGTCACCTGTGGTCCTGGTTTCAGTTCATCACTATTACAACCGTAACATGAAAAACGTCATTTTACCAGAAAATAATATTGTCACGGCATGGGTGGAGGTACGTTTCTTTTCTACAGATTTTCTTAAAATAATTCTCTGGTTTAGCAAAGGGTGAAGTATCTCACCGCAAAGAGTTTCATTCTTTTCCAGGGAGTTGGCCTAAAATCGGTGAGGATTTGTGTCAGAGACTTGAGTGGAACGGGACGGAAACATGACCCCCTTTCTGTTAGTTATATTGTTACCGGAGGTAAGTAATGCTCTTTAACAAACTCTATGAAGAGCTTGAATGGTCATTTTACCAGATTCATAAGATTCACTATAGGCAGTGTTCAATCGGGAAATTGGTCAAAGTGGGTCATATGTCCCACATGAGCTTTTAAATTGGGTCATTTAAAAAATGGTCTAGGTCTGCAAACTATGCGACATTGAAATTTTGAACAACTCTAATGGACATCTTCATGCTTTTCAGATTCAACTGCCATTTTCTCTTTTGTAAAAAATGAACTTAGTTTTTGTCATTTCATAATGAAACAAAAACAAAGAACAAAGTCAACAAACAAAGCACAAATCGATCGGCAAAGCTCTATGACGAGCTTGAATGGTCATTCTACCAGATTCATGAAAGAAAAAGGGAAATTTAGGCATGGATTTTATCTGCAAAATGTTGGACTTAATTTACTATCCTAAAACAAAAGTTTACTATACTAAAACAAAAGTTTATACTTACAATACGTTTTATTAATTATTGTTTTTATTAATTCTCCCAATTGGGATCTTCAGAATTAATTTACAAGAACTCGTCAGGCTAAGTAACGTTCGAAATTACTAACAGTACATAATTATGTAAACGAAATGAAACTACGAGATAAAGATAACCAACACAAGTTGACGAAGAAACAGGACAAGGCTTTGGCAGGATTGCAAAATCACGAGACAGAAGATGTTAAAGAAAATTGAAATTCTTTGAAAGCAATTACATATGACACTGCTGTGAATGTCTTAGGTAAACCCAATCGTAAACTCACTAGGATTGGTTCGACGGCAGTGAAAAGAAGCTGAAGGCCTTGTTAGAGTCGAGGAAAGAACTAATGTAAGGGTGAAATAGCTAGATCAAACAGGGCAAAACTGACCAGTAGTCGACGGAATCTACAGCAGTACACCAGGGAAATGAAGTCTTAATAGTGGGAAGCAAAGGCTGAAGAATTGCAGCAGGCAGCAGAAAAAAAAAACGATATGAAAGCCTTTTACAATTGGCTGAAAGAAGTATATAGACCACTGTAGAGGGGTACAACACAGCTTGCTGCCCTTGATGGTGAGACAGCAATACGTGAAAAACCTGAGATTCACGATGGGTTTGCAAATCACTTTGACCAGCTACTCAACATATCAAGAGAGGTTGATCGCTCTGCCTTGAACACTATTGCTTACTGGCCAAACATCTCGTTCCTTGATAAAAAAAACCTGAATTCAAGGAACTGTTGGATGCCATCAATGCAACAAATGAGGTTGGCGCAACACCACTCTGCGACATGTTGGATATCCTCAGCAACTTGGCGTAGACGTGAATCAATGTCCTTTGTCGCGAACGAAAAATATATCTTTGTGTCATGAACGTACGATTCGATGTTACTTAACTTGATGACTTCAGGTAGATCGTTCGTTCTTTTGTTTTTCAGACCTGGATCCTTGTCTTAATGTCAACTGCCCATCTTTTGGGGTCTGCAAGACATACAGTGCTCATGAAGCACGCTGTGTGTGTTTTGACGACTGCCCCACCTATCAGGACCCAGTATGCACTGCCAACGGAACAACTTATGACAACAAATGCTGGCACGAGTTGAGCTACTGCAGGGGACTGGATAATAACCTTGTTTACCACCCTGGGAGCTGTGAAGGTTGGTGAAAGAGACCCCCTAACACAGTCTTCGAAGTAATGAAAATGAATTGGCGCATAAGGAAGGCGGGGATGGTTGATTTTCAAAGCAAATCCTTGTAACTAGAAAAGGATGACTTTCCATCTAATTTACGTCTGTGCTTTTTTCAAAAGGTTTCCCAGTAGTCCGTGGCCGCGTGGACCTTCATCGAATCCCAAAGTGGACAGATTCCACTTGCCAGACGGTAGATGTCCCTCCGTATCGCTTTTATCCGGATAAGAAAGTTCATGTTCAAATTAGTGTCAATCACATGAAGTTAAATGACTCTGTGTCAGTCCACGATGCTGTCACATCATGGACTGAAAGTGTTAACACCCAAAACTTTACAGTTTGCGTCATGCAGACAGGAAGGAACAGTGGAGAGAGCTCTAATCCCTTCGCTACAGTTGATTGGCTGGCTTACCAAGGGGCTCCACCCAATGGAATGACGGGAAGGATTAAGATGCAAAACTGGTGGTCTGGTACGAAATGTGCTCCTGTGGTTTATCCCAAGGTAAAGGAAACGTAAAAAAGAGCTTCCGCTGACAAATAATGTTTAACGATTGTGTGTTCCTTTGTAAATAGGATGACGGCGTAGAGGTCTGTTCCGACTCTAAATTTCTAATGACTAGTTTCTTTCTTACAGAATAAGTTCAAGGAAACACCTATAGTTCTCGTGACCGCAGAACACTTGAGGACTGGAAAGGAGTATGATGCATCCCTAATATGGACAGAAGATCCAAATAAGGACTCATTTAAAGTCTGTCTTCGTGAAATGCAAAACTTTGATGGAAAACATGAAGACATTACCGTGGTATGTTTGAAAATCATATTGTTATTAAAAGCAGAATAAAATATTGGTGTCAGGGGCGAGATTGCAACCTCGGAGAAAGCGGGAAGGTTTCAGTGCTGCTATGATGTGACATGCATTGGATACTGCACTAATGAATATAAGCAAGAAAAGGAAAGATACAATCTAAACTGTCATTGATTTTGATGCTGTTTAATAATATTGTTTTAGAGTTGGCTGGTATTTGTTGAACTAAGCAAACCGTTCTTCACTGAAGGTGATTCTGTCGGATTTTTAAACACAAAGCCACCAAAAGACGAAGATAACAACGCTTATTGCCAAGTAAGTGAAAAAAGAAAAACGCCGATGAAACGAAATATAAAAATAAAATTAAAAATACACATTTCATGTCACGAGACATTGTTAAGAATTCTAATTATTTTTTTTTTAATGGCAGTTCGTGAAGTTTGAAAGAAGCTATAACACAACACCCTCAGTGTTACTTACAGCCAATCACAGCAGCACGGCTCCTGGAAACTCCGCACCAATTCACTACGGGATTACAACATGGATCGAGGTACCAAAAATAACAAGAGAGGATCATGGACGTCCCAAGACAAAGCATTGGTTAAAAAAATAAATCTGATAGTTTTTAAGGGCAAAAACAAAACTCTGCCGAAAAGGTCTACCATAACAAGAATCGGTGCTCGTTACGTTAAATCATATTATTGACATCATTCTTTCTGGCGCAAATCACGGGCAGTAATTAAGGTTACGTAAGATTGTGTAGATGCTTCTAGTCCTCCGCAGTTTCCCGTTGGGATTCTGACAAAGTTTTGTTAGAAAAAAAGGGTAAGCGCGAGTAACGATGGGAAAAGGGAAAAGCGGCTTTCCACCGTCCCTGACAAGCAATATTTAAAAACAAGTTTTAATGATCAAGTTAGCTAACTGTAATCCTTTTTTGCAGAACGTGAACGCAACAGGCTTCAGGGTGTGTTTGAAGGAGTTGTACGAAACCAGATACGATCCCGTGTCAGTGAATTATGCGGTTCTTTCAGGTCAGTTAATACGAAAAATACCACATCTTAAGACGTGGCCGTTTTACTGAGCAAACTATCATGTCTTGATTAGGGACGGACCATTAGGAAACATTTGGGGTGGGGGGGCGAAGTACCAAAAAAAATTCGCGCAAGGGAAAATTTAATTTAAAAAAATTCTTGCACGCCAATTAACCCTAAGAAATATTCATGCAAGGGCCTAAAAAAAATTCATACAAGGAGTTTGATAACGAAAAAAAATTCCTGCGGCTCGAAAATTCCCCTCCCCCCCATAACTTTTCCAATGGTTCGTCCCTTAGTAGCAGCGTTACATACGTCACGTGCACAGATGTCACGTGGAATCATTGCTTAGCTTTTTTTCATATTTATTCAGGGATATAAGAAGGCGTTTACCCATTCTGGTGTTGTCTTACTTTGCGTAAATTTGCTATGTATGACCTCTGGCTTACCTCAATGTAGCCATCTTTTCTGTTGGTGGATAAAGTCTCCAACAGGTAACATACATAACTGTCAGCGTTAGCCAGTAGCCATTACTGAGCTTAAGGCCAAATCTTAAACTTTACTTTTCCACAGATATCTGTGATCCTGGGTGGAGCTATTTCAATGGATTCTGTTATTTGACTAATGAAAAATGCGTCAATTGGACAACAGCTCTCACCAAATGTCGTCAGGAAAACTCGGTCCTTGTTGATGTTACCAACGATGAGGAAAATGTTTATATTCAACACCGCCATAATAAAGAAAAATCCTGGCTGGGCCTGAATGACATAACCACGGAAGGTAACTTCACTTGGGCAGATCGCGGTGAGGGGAACTTTACAGCCTGGGCGAAAAATCAACCCAATAATTTTAATGAAGAAGACTGTGTGCACGCACTTGGTCTGAGATACAACTATGAATGGAATGACGTGAAGTGTAGTGATTGTCATCAGTACACTTGTAAGAGAGGTAGGATGGTAAAATGTTTTTATTCATTCAGTGTTTTAATGGTCTTTTCTTAATGGCCAGATATTCTACCTTTTTGTTCATGCAAATCCCACTTTCTTAAAAACGTACAACGAGCAACTTGACCGACTCATCAAAGAGCGAATGCCAATAGGAGTCTGCAAGGATAAAGAAAACGTTTTCTTGTTTTCTGCTCCAAACTGAAGCCTCTTTGTTTTTTGTAGACAGCCCGAAAGCTTTTATGCTTCCCTTGAAAGTTGCTTCTTAAGAGTGAGTCCATGGGTGCACCAGGCAGGTGCGCTACATGCTATCTCTCCGATTTCAATGAAACTTGGCCAGTTTAAAGGGTCTACCCCAAAACTCAAAATGACAAACTGGTTCATAGTTTGGATCTTTATGGTGGGAGATAGGCCACCCAACTGGTTTAATTAGATTTTTTACCAATAAAAGTGCATTAATACCAGGCAAAAGTAGGAAGCTCTCAGGACAACTGTGTTTAACCTTTGACTATGAGGGTTTGTATAAATGTTGATGCATCTTTGACAAATGTAAGAATATAAGTTTCAGTCAATTTGATTGACAGCTTGTCAATCACCGGCCTTGAACATTGGACCACCTTTTTAGCCATTCAAATATTTGCTGATTTTGAGATCAAATATCTCTCCTTGCCAGAAAGCTATGACAATAATTTTGCTATTCCCTGTTTACCAACCCTTTAGTCTATAATAAACATAAAAAAAATTTCTGGGCACTGCCTTTTTTGGGCGACAGATGCCAGTTGAAAACTGCACCTAAAACAAGCCTATTTCCACTTCACCTGTCCTATAATTCAGCAATTAAGGGCCGTTGAGGTTACTAAACCGACACTTTCCAGCCCGTTATACAAGAATGATAATTGAGGAGTTTAATGTATGCTTAAACCTTCGAGATTTTGTGAGAAAATTAAAGATTTCACACTGATTAGTAATGCACGTCACCAAAATATAGAAGGCAAAATCGTAATGTTTGTGACCTCGTTTTGATTTTCTTGCAAAATGAAAGATTATTCTTCTTACGAGTTACACTATACAGAAGTCCTTCATTCAAGTGTTTATGGTCTTTACTGCGACAGAACCAAGCTGTTTTTAATTTCCTGGGCAGAATTTTCAAGGCCATACGGCGAGTGGTTGTTGACAAGCTTTGAATCACGCCAGTATATGCCAGTCATAAAGCAACGTCAACTCGCACATCTAAAAACAACATTCAACGATGGGAAATTCTTCCTTCTAGCGATAAAGAAATTACGCCCTTAAAAAGTTCATTAAGTTTAGGCTAAAACCTAAAAAAGAATAGCGTTAGTTTTACTTACCGCCGTCGATCTACGCCTAACTATTATGTATGCTCCGTGACCAGCCAATATTTGTTTAGAATCCACTTCTTTGCCTCCAAAAGGCTTTCAGAATGTCCTGCTTATCTCTATTAATAACTATATCTATCTCCTCCTAAGTTCATTTTTTGTTCAAATGCAAGTGGTTCGAAGATCTCTGTTACTCTCAATCGCGATTATTTACTACCAAGAATTACGTGACAAAAAGAAAGAGCCTGCAATGTTTTGATCAGCGAATTTCCCGCGCCTTCCCCGGCAATTTACATAAATCTAAACAATTTTCGGTTGTCTAAACTGGAAGAGAAAATGAATAAAAATAAACAAAACAAAACAGAACTAAAAAATAGGTATTTACATTTTTGTTTTCGTCTCCCTAGGGCCAAAACTATAGCCTGTGTACAGACCCCTTCTCCCCTCACTGAAACACCCGACCTTTTTTCACTAGATATTCCTTGTTTACTTCCTGTTTAAAAGCCATGACATCTATTGTCGATTATTCGTTAAAAAGGCGTTTATTGTCATTACAATGATAAAGACAATATGTAGCATGAAAGGAGATATTTTACATAAAATGCGCGGTCTACTAAAAAAAACTATCTATAGCCAACTGATAAAAATACTGTCTACTAAAACTACTCTAAAAAGCATACTAAAACTAGTTTTAAAATGTCTGCATTCCTCGTATTAAAACTAAAATCATCTAAAAAGTCAGCATTCTTCTGAAAAAGGGTTCTGGACCCTCGTACACATGTGTGGACGGATCTTAAAATTTCAAAAGATATGCGTGTTTTAAGCCAAGATATGGCACTGGCATACGACTTGCCGTTTATTTCGGGAAAGTTTGTCCGCTAGGTTGCTCAGAAAAAGTTTGCATTCTCCCCCATTCCTCCATTCCTGCCAAAATCCAGGGGGATAAAAGATCCCATTTCCACGTTAATAACTCTTTGTTGGTACTTCCTTTTCTTCTCATTCTCATGCTCCACGAAGATCAATTCTGTGGATTTGTTCTGGTTACACGTTGAGTTCACATGCGTAAAACATACATAGAAGAATGCTGTCCCTCCTCGTGACCAGAAACTTCCGCCTTTATGTCCAGTCTAGCCTCAGGACGGACTTGTGATGGTGGATCTTAGGTTGAATACCTCATGGTCGATCGATAGAAGGTGGGGTTCTACCTCGACATCCTTGCAGATTTTGCTGAGCAGAGGTGTGCGAAAGTTTTGGATGCCATCATGTCTTTGTGCAACAAAACCCGTCTTCTTACACGACAGAGCGTGTCTGACTGTGAATCGATCTCCACACGCGCAATGTCTCGGCAAGTCCGCTAGTTGCAGATTGTAATGCAAGCGTAGAGAGTCCCTAAATTGTTGCCTATTCAATGTCAGGTCCTGCTCTTTAAGGGTTACGGCGTTGAGCCACGAGTTTGCATCATTGCCTCTGGCCTGCTTTGTTGATCTTAGCAGGTCTAACTGCTACATGTGTTGCTATTATTAACTTTGAGGCAGCGTATTGCTGTGAGACTTCAGCTTTCAGGTCTGGTATACCCAGACCCCCCTTGTGCTGGCGGAAGGACAAATAGTTCTCGCAACTCAGCAGGGAGGGGCTCCGTCTGGTGAAAAAGGACTGGAAGGAAAATATCATTGATCGCTTCCTAAATTGGTTCCACATAGTCTTCAAAAGAGTCAATTGTACGCATAAAATATGGAAATTTCGATTTGTAGCCCCCTGTGAAGGAGACGTAGGCGGCATGGGTATGACTCTTTACGAACTCCGCCAGCAACTCGATGTTTTCCCTCCAACCCTGGGCTTTTCCACTACATCATTGGTCTTTGTATTACTGTGATCCAGTGACTGTTTCGAGGTGTCGTTGACCTTCCGTTGTTATAATTGTGACCTCCTCTCCAAACACCAGCTCGGCCTCGTCTGCTAGATCTTGTGTCTGTACAACCCGGGCTTTACTATTAGCCAACTTTTGGGGCCATTGATTAGGTAGCCAGATTTCTTTCCCTCTTGACTAAAAAGCTTATACCAGTTGTATAACAGTTCCATTAGGCTGCTTCCTGCCGAGTCATCAACCAGTTATACTTGCTTAACTTCAGGTATACGCGCTTTTAGGCTCGGAATCAAGATGGATGTGTTGATCGCATACCACGGTATGGCTAAAGGGTCACTCTATGCTGTCCCTTCGTGAGATAAGGTCTCTACTCCTCCACAGGTGAACAATCTCGAGGGACTTCCGTACGTGTTGATGATATACATGGAAATTTCCGGGCAAGTTATTTGGTTTTTGCTAGCGTCAACCAACAGGATTTCGTCTGTACCATCATCATCTTAAATCGCGGCCATGGCATGTATGGCGACCTCGGCACCCGCACTGTAGCCAATGCAAATTTGCCGGGGGGGCGGCTGCCAGTATGATCTCCTCCAAAAAGGCCCTGTTTACAAGGGGGGAGGGTAACCCTGGTGCTAGGGTACCGTAGCAAGAGGGTTACCCTAGCACTCGCTCCTTTCTTCTTTTTTACACGACGTGTTTACACGGCAGGTAGGGTTACCCTAGCAAGCGGGTTACCCTACCTGCCTTGTAAACGCTCTGCTAGGGATAACTCGCCTACCCTGGACAACTTTCCTCCGTTGACCCGAGTGATAGGGTAACCCTACCTGTGAACTGAGGTTAAAGATAGGGAGGGGCCGGGGCGAAGGGAAGAAGGCAGAAAACCCTGAGTTCAGCTTTCGTGTGGCTGTATATTTTTCTGTACGAACTACAAAACACGCCCTGAAAAACAGCCCGCATTTTTAGTATGCTAATGAAAAGGAGTAACAAAAAAATATTGTAGCTAGATTACAGAAGCTGAACCCCTGAGTGGAAAATGAACACGTGAATACGCGAAGCGTGTTTTGACAAGTACTTATTTTTTCTTGGCTATATTATTTCAGCTTAAAATAAATGTTATATTTTATTACTTGGCTTCCCTGTTTTCAAGAAAAAGCATCCACTAGTTCCCCATAGTTTTTACTTTAACTTAAACTTAAGGAAGGCAAATTTCTTGTAAACCAGAGCTAACGTTACCCCGCTTCCTAGGGTAACCCTCTCTTCTTGTAAACAGGCCCTAAGAAGGTGGATATGGTCTTATTCGTCTCAAAACCTCTCCGACTCCTATTGGTCAGATTGATGGATTCTTATCCAGTGGAATGAGCCTGAAGGAAGTGTAGCTTTCCAAGAGAGAAGGGTGCTAACTTCATTTCAGCAGATTTCTGGTCAACGCAGCTATTTCTTTTAGGCTTATTATTATTATTATTATCATTATCATTATCATTATCATTATCATTATCATTATCATTATCATTATCATTATCATTATCATTATCATTATCATTATCATTATCATTATCATTATTATTATTATTATTATTATTATTACTTTTTTTTTTCATCCTCTCCTCCAGTTTAGACAACCCAAAATTGTTTAGAATGTATTTAAATCGCCGGGGAAGGCGCGGGAAATTCGCTGGTCAGAACACTGCAGGCTCTTTCTTTTTGTCACGTAATACTTGGTGATTGAGAGTGACGGAGATCTTCGAACCACTTGCATTTGCACAAAAAATGAACATAGGAGGAGACAAATTAGTTATAGAGATAAGTAGAAAATTCTGAAAGGCTTTGGAAGGCAAAGAAGTGGATTCTAAACAAACATTGTCTGGTCACGCAGCATGCATAATACCGAGGCGTAGATCGACTAATTAGATCGACGGCGGTAAGCAAAATTAACACGATTCTTTTTCTGAGGTTGTAGCCTGAACTAAATGAACTTTTTAAGGGTGTAATTTCTTTATCGCTAGAAGGAAGAATTTCCCATCGTTGAATGCTGTTATTAGATGTGCGAGTTGACTTTGCTTTACGACTGGCATATACTGGCGTGATTCAAAGCTTGTCAACAACCACTCGCCATGTGGCCTTGAAAATTCTGGCCAGGAAATTAAAAACAGCTTGGTTTTGTCACAGTAAAGACCATAAACACTTAAATGATGGACTTCTGTTTAGTCTAACTCGTAAGAAGAATAATCTCTGATTTTGCGAGAAAATCAAAACGAGGTCACAAACATTACGATTTTGCCTTCGATATTTTGGTGACGTGCATTACTAATCAGTGTGAAATCTTTAATTTTCTCACAAAATCTCGAAGGTTTAAGCATACATTAAACTCCTCAATTATCATTCTTGTATAACGGGCTGGAAAGTGTCGGTTTAGTAACTTCAACGGCCCTTAATTGCTGAATTATAGGACAGGTGAAGTGGAAATAAGCTTGTTTTAGGTGCGGTTTTCAATTGGCATCTGACGCCCAGCAAAGGCAGAACCCAGAAATGTTTTTTATGTTTATTATAGACTAAAGGGTTGGTAAACAGGGAATAGCAAAATTATTGTCATAGCTTTCTGGCAAGGAGAGATGTTTGATCTCAAAATCAGCAAATATTTGAATGGCTAAAAAGGTGGTCCAATATTCAAGGCCGGTGATTGACAAGCTGTCAATCAAATTGACTAAAACTTATATCCTTGCATTTGTTAAAGATGCATCAACATATATACAAACCCTCAAAGTCAAAGGTTAAAAACAGTTGTCCTGAGAGCTTCCTACTTTTGCCTGGTATTAATGCACTTTTATTGGTAAAAAATCTAATTAAACCAGTTGGGTGGGCTATCTCCCACCATAAAGATCCAAACTATGAACCAGTTTGTCATTTTGAGTTTTGGGGTAGACCCTTTAAACTGGCCAAGTTTCATCGAAATCGGAGAGATAGCATGTAGCACGCCTGCCTGGTGCACCCATGGACTCACTCTTAAACTGTTAAGTAGAAAATTATATAATAAATCCGATACGCATTATGTCAGACCCCGGATAGCAAAATCTCAGCCAATCCGGCCTTTGGTGTCTACCGTAAACTGTCGCTTATAATCCCTGGGCTTATAGGAGGGCTTATAAATGGAGAGGCTTATATCCGAGGAGGATTATAACCAGAATAGAAAAAGCGCTTCGAAACAAGATATAGCAGTGCTGATCAAAATACATTTCAAATTCAAAGTAGACCGACTGCAAATTATATTAGTTGCTAAAAAATATATATCTACTTGTCGCAACTGTTCATCAGTAGGATGCCTAAAATGCGTGCAATTCCACAATTGGTTTCGGCTCCATTAAATCCTATGCCAATTGCAGAACATTTTAGGAGGAGCCACCCACCACGTGAGCACAGTCACGGACAATGTATAATGTATAATGTATAATGTTGTACATTTTGCATTTACTGGTGTTCAATTAAGCTTTTAAAAAGGTCATAACATATCGAATTCAGAGGGCGGCGAGGATAAGGAGGGGTGTTTATCCAGGGAGCTTTGAATCAGCTGTATTTTTTTGTTCACAGGCAGATGGGCCGTAAATGGGGGAGAGCTCATAAGTAGGGGGCGTTTATTGGCGGCAGTTTACGGTAATTAAATATCTCAGTGGGTAAGATACGCAAGAATTTGTATATCAAACTAGGTTAGTACGTCGTCTTTCGTCTCCACTTGAACAATAAGCCATCAAATCCGCGTTACTTTCAAAAGAGTTCAATAAATTTCGTTAAAACGCCTTGGTATAATCATTCGTAAGTATAGTTCTGTGCTACGGGAATAACGATCAGCAGTTCGAGGATAAATCACCGTATAAATGTATCCATCCTTTACGAGTTAATGGTGCAAAAACCGACAACACCAATTGTCAAATCGCAAAAAATCTTAGGCATCCTACGGCTCAGGCCACTTAGCTTAAGGTATGACTGTCTTATCAAATATGTACATTTTGATAAAATTCTATTTAGAACGGTTTGCTTCGATCAATGATCCTGAAAACTGAACTACAAATGTAGCTTAATGGCCTAGCAATATGAGTGCGTTTTAGAAGCTCAAATTCTCGTCACGTGACTGATAATTGAGAATCTACGGTAAAAATATTTACTCTAAAATGGGGAAAGGATAATGAAAGAGCAACAAGTTCTTTTAGGTACATTTCAGAGGCTATTAAAAAGGTTCTTATAAATTCGCCTTGTATGTGTGTTTACGTTATATAGGAATCGGTAAATAAAGGGAAAAGGGTCAAGTGACTTATTAATTAGTTAAATAGCTAATAGGATAAATAACATTTCCAATCATACAAGGCGAATTTACGATTTACACTGTTTATGTAACATTTTGGTAGTGAAAATTCCTAAGATTAAGGTTTGCAACCCTTCCCTGTTTAGGAAAACGTGTTTTGTGACGTCATTGACGAAGTGATGTCACGTGTTATTTAAAATCACGTTTCACGTGTTTTTTTCGTTGAGCCACATTCGTGGCTTACTTTTCAGGAGCACTGATGGAAGCAAACCGTTCTAATTAAATAGCATTTACTAAAATATGCATATTTATTTAGGTAGTCATGCCTTAATTAGGGAGTTTAAGATACGAAGACTACGGACTACGAACTACGGCTGGACGAGCGTTGTCCTTCGTTTGTAGCACTGGGTTGAGTCGTGCAAATATAGAACGTTAAGATTGCACTAAGGCAGGCAGTAGACTACGAGAGAAGAAGCGCAGTGGGAAACAACACGCAAAGATTTTCTTGTTTTAATCACAGTTCACAAAAATGCAAGTCACTTTTGCATGTGATCTTATCTTTAGAACAATGAACAAATTCTTCCATACTTGAAGGAAGCAATTACACTTAATTACTTTGGGTGAAATTGATGAACAAAGTTTTGGTTACACAGGTTTAATTTTTTTCGCCCATGAATACTTATGTCAAATAATAAAGAAATAGACAGAAATAGTAATAGCTCATTTATTATATTTAGAAGGTGGATTTCTCCGACTACTGATTTGCTGTAGTTTGAAGTATTGAAATGCCGAGTTTCGATTGTCTCGAAGATGTTTACATCATTTTCATTCAGCAAATGCGATACAAAAACTCGCATAAACAAAGGTTACACAAGTAGAAAGATGCACTAAGCAGTTCGAACAAACAATGAAACTTTTCAAGTGCGAAGAGAAAGTAAATTACCTACATGATTTCTCTTCTCCTCGGCCGTCAATCTGAAGCTTACTTAAATGTGAGCTTAGCTAGATAAAAATGTAGTCACAACAGTGGATTAAAAGCGTAAATCTGTGCAGAAATTAGACACAACTTACATATTTCGCTTTCCTCTCACTTAAAGCAGGTGAATTGAAAACTTTTTTACGAAAAGACGAGATTCTTGAATTACCGAGACGGCAAAATACGAGCAAAATGCTCTCCGTAGTCCCGACTACGCGAAACAGCTCAACAACTCACCGTAGCCGCAGGGCTGCGCGGGAAAAATGAACAGTCACGTGGTTTTGATCATGCGCAGTAGCATGTTTATCCGTAGCCGTAGTCCGTAGTCGCCGTATCTTAAACTCCCTATTAAGTAGCCTGCGAACCGCAGACGCATTTCCGGTCGTCGCTTCTCTCCCTCCGAAAAATAGCGTCTGCGAACCCGAGCGACAAAACTATTTCCGTGACGTAAAACCTCTTGTTTTGATGTAGGCCAATCAGATCAAAGGATAGAATACAGCTCGAGTGACTCCTCGCGACCTCGCGCGCTGAAGTGTCTTGGATTTTGGAGAGAATTACCAAATACGCTTTGGAACGTGAATTTCACGACCATAACAAGGTTTCCTGCGACGTTGAATGCTGACTTCTTTATGTAGCAACTGCTTCTTAAGCTATGTATGTGATGTGGGCCTTTGGTTTCGCTTTATAAAAGACGGTAGTACGTGATATAAACAAAACCTGGACTAAATAATCGCTACAGCGAAAGGAAAGCAACATAGCTTAATGACATCGCCCTCAGACTTATTTATTTCAATTTAACCAGCGCTGACAAAAGGTGGTGAATCAATTATACAGGCACATCCTTGACTGATTCAGAAATCTCTAACAATCGCTCGTTAATAATTCTAGTATCGCCACAACACAATGATCTGAAATATTATAAACCTGGGCCAGACCCAGCGTGAAATAAATAGTTACAGCAGTAAATAGATCATAGTCAAAATGACATTTCAGCTACGACGCTTCTACTCATCTCACAAAAAACTATGGAAACGAGAACCTTGAAAAGAACATGTATTTAAAGAAATATACCGGAACAAATATAAAATGCTTTCGATCTGATCAAAGTTCTATCTGAACCAGGAAGCAACCACGCGTGGGAAATCAATTACCACATGTCCTACCTTTCAAAGATAAAGGATATCTACTAAAAAATATCTAAAACGGCACACGACAAACTATCGAAGAGTTCTCCAAGGCATACTTTCCTGCCAGGAACCAGAAAGGAACAGAAGCAACAAACGGCATGATGCGTCTACTGTCATTAGGACAGTTATCGTTTCGAATATGATCAAAACAACTACGTCTGATAAATCATTGACTCCGTAGGCAAATAGATGAAAAATGTCCTCTAATCTTTTCTTCGATATGAATCCTCTTGATACTTATTTCGTCAATCAGTCCCACAATCCTGGCAAATTAACTTTCGTAAACGCGTCGTTCTGAGAAAAAAGGACGGCTACTACACAAGCCACGTCGTCCTTTCAATTTCGACTTGAAAACATATCCATCGCGCACGATCCTGCGAGAAGTCTCGCGAGTTAGTTCCTTGATTTTAAGAGCTAAACCGTGATTGGCTAAAAAGGTTTTACGTCACGGAAATCGTTTTGTCGCTCGGGTTCGCAGACGCTATTTTTCGGAGGCAGAGAAGCGACGACCGGAAATGCGTCTGCGGTTCGCAGGCTATTAATTAACTGGCCTGAGGGATAATTAGTTACGACGGATTTTCCAAGAGTAGCAATTGTCTATAGCCCATCCTCTTCATATTTTGTTGCTAACGAATGTGACAGTGACAGGTATGACACGCCGCGAGGTATATAGGTAAGCGCAGTTCTGGTTATGTAGGAATGTCAGTTTAGAAAATTTATAGAGAACTACTTTTGGTGTTTCAACTGAGTTCACGTTCGTCTGAACCACTTCCTTTTCCGCCCTCATTTGAATACACGATTGGGCCTTAAGGTTAGATGTGTACAAAGGCAAACAATAACAAAAACCTCTTTGTCTACAGCATGTTGAGTGTTCACCTACACCAAAAAACCGCCCTGGTTTTTATTTTGTAATTTCAAAAATGAATCATTTGTATTTATTTAAAATTGTTAATTATTTGTTTAGATTTCAATGAGTGTGAAAAAAAGACATACAACTGTCACCCGTTTGCTACATGTGTGAATGAACCTGGATCTTATTCATGCAAGTGCAAGCCTGGCTACGTTGGAAATGGATATAACTGTCGCTATTCAACGAGGAGATCCTGCTCTGAAATCCGGAATTACGTCAGCACAGTCAGCAGGAACTATGTCATTGATCCAGATGGTGAGGGAGGTCTGGCACCTTTTACTGTGTACTGTGACATGACTGACAAGAGGGGTGTTGGCGTTGCTGTTATCAGTCACGACAGTGAAAGCAGGAAGTTGGTGAGAGGTTGTGAAACGCAGGGGTGTTACTCACGTGACATTCATTACACAGGAGCTAATCTGTCTCAGCTGGCGAGTCTTACCAGAGTTTCTTCGCACTGTGAACAGTTTATCAAGTATGAGTGTTATGGCTCCGGTTTTTGGTTTAACAATCCATATGGATGGTGGGTGTCACGTGATTCTACTAAGATGACGTACTGGGGCGGAGCATCACCTGGCAGTGGTAAGTGCGCATGCGGGATGACCAACTCATGTGCCAACACCGGAGATCGTTGTAATTGTGATAAGAATGACTTAAACTGGCGTCAAGACAGTGGTCTCCTCACTGACAAGACAAAGCTGCCAGTAAAACAGCTCAGGTTTGGTGATACTGGTGATAAGGGAGAGAAAGGCTACCACACTCTGGGGAAACTGAAATGCTATGGTACAGCATAAAAGCGTATTTTCTATGAAACGGAAACAAACCTGTTAGAATTAATCAGAGGCATTTTTAGTTTTCATGTAACAGTAGTATTAAGGATTTTTTGAAGATCTGCGTAAAACATGTAACAGAGATTTCCAACTGCTAAGAAAATCAGCGTCATATAAAACTCTTTTTTGCGTATTAGACTGTTAAAATTCCTTTCAGTATATACACGGGCCAAACCAGTGAATAGTGCAGTTTCGCGCGCCCTTATCTATTCACCTCCAAGCAAACCAAAGTGGCTTCATCTGTGAATTCCTTTGCGGGGGCCAATTTACTTTGTAAGTCGCTGTCTCGTTTTCTCTTTGCTAATCTGCAAACGCAAATATCTGATAAAAAAAAAAAAAACAAGTAGTGCGATAAAGTCAGAAAGTGGACGAACTGGTGCAAGGGTTGCATCCAGACTCTTATAAATCGAAGTGTCAAAGCAAAACAAACCCCTGATATAGAGCAAAAATTACACGCTATTTAAGAAACCATTTAATCACGTATGCTTGCGCACAGGTATATGGCGAAATCTATTTCAGTTTCAAGTCACCCAAGACAATAGAAACTTCTTTGCAACCTTTCAAATTTGCTTTCTTGTTTGTGAATCAAAGCAGTTTTGATAATGCACTTCCATGACGCACATCTTTCCGAGGCCATCCATCTTAACCCGTAACATAAAAAACGGGTAGTTTCCCATTAATCCTCCAAATTCTCGATACCCACCTTGATCTTCACGTCTTATAATAAACATAGAACTGACGCAGCCCGCTGAAATCTAGCAGCGTACGTACGTACGTCCACCCCTTCATGTTAGCGGATGAGAAGTAGCACACTTTAATTCTTGCTAGGAGGTCAAAGAGGGTTTTCACTCACGTGGTCAACATCTATGCAAATTTATTTGGAACAAAGAAAATTTTTGACATAAGAAAAGAGTTCAACTACCACAGGACTGGTTTGGAACACAAACATTGCCGCAGTTTTATTGTTTTGGAACACCATTATGGCCGCCGTGACGTCATGTGAAAACGCTCTATACTATCTGCGTTTAACTTGGTATTAGACATCCATGTTATTGTCAATTGGCAGCTGTCAAAAAGGTATCCGCTGACCAGTGTCACAAGACTGTATCGCGGGTTCAGGTATATAACCCATGGAGATGACGTAGTTTTTAAGTTATCCGCTGACCAGCAGCGGGCTCGGCCCATTTTTGAAAGGTGGAATTCAGTTTGCTTTCTGCTGAAGGCAAAAAATAAATTTCTTGAGAAAGATATTTCTCAAAACATTCCTCGAGTGATTCGCTTTTGGCCTTGGCTAATCTGTCTATTACAGAGAAATACGTTTGTGTGCTTTGCGAGGGAGCATGGACTTCTTTTTTTGGTGGTGAATTGTTTCTGGAGCCAGGAGTCTGTCCGTATCCTTCCCTGTCACTTTTCATCAGTCACCGAATAACTCAGAAAAATAGATCCAAAACGACACATGATACTTGAAGCTAAGGATAAGCGGCCACACTTAGGAAACAACTAATATAACCGACCCCTTTAAACAGTACTACCCTTAAATATAGGTTGGACTAGTCTAAATGAAGTGAATCGTGAAAAGGATCGTGACAAAATAGCATCCATCGCAAGAGAAATCCAACTGAAAGGCATTTTCACTTCTCCTATTTTCAAAAAGGAAGAAATCACAGATAATAATTAACAGGCCATATTAAATGCATTTTCTACGCTGGACGGAAACCTCTTGACAAAGTGTCTGTGAAACATACAGTACGAAAAGCCCGGGGGGGGGGAACACTTCCTAGTAATAGGCTAATGGGGTGTGCCGCTGGATGGGGTCTCATTTTTACGACAGGGTTGACTATAAAGGGGTCGCATTTTCAATAGAGTTACTAAAATGGGGTCGCTCATTTTCGGGATTTTGGGGAAAAGAATATTCCAGCAATTAAGTAATTCAAACCGCGAGAATTTTTACAAGTGTAACGAATGTGCCAATTCATTTCCGGATGACCTTTATAAAAGACTTTTATAAGGCACATGCATAAAAAGTTTGGCTTGCAAATATTGCCTTTATCCAAAAGTGACTAATGTGGGGTTTATAATTGGTCACAGAATGGACTATATTGGGGCAGGCGTTGTGAGAGATACGCGGCACATACCCAGCATAAACTTACCCAAGTTACCCCCAGGGACGAAAAGGTGACCGCGATCCCTTAGAGAGGTTATTGTTAAATTTGCCACCAGGGAGCTTACGCAACGACGACGGCGACGTCAAAAAGTACGGGAAAAAACCAATAGGTTTAGATTGGCAAAACAACAACTTTGCACGTGCATCACACTTTTTTGTACATTTCTTTGTCGTCACTGCACGACTACGACGCGAAAATGCCTAATTTCACGTTTTGCGGAGATCGTGAACACAAGACAACAACTTTATTTTTCTTTTCTTGTACTTTCATACTGTCTTTGAGAATTCAACTCCGCAAAAAATTGCCAACATTTGACGAACTGAACGAGATGGAATAAGCGCGATAAAGTTTAAAGCAGCGCAACTGTACCTTTTAAGTGACGTTTTCGTAGCCGTCGCCGTCGTTGTTGCTTAAGCTCCCTACTATTGAAACGAGAAAGAAACTGGGCAGAGTTAACTTTCGCAAAGACTTCTGGGGCTATTATTATGGACAGGACAAACAAATTGGCCAATAGCTGACCGTCGCGTCCCCAGTAACGATCCCATAACTCTTTGCGAAAGCTAACTCGGTCCAGTTTCCTTCTCGTTTTTAGCCGGTGGCGAATTTAACATAAACATGGCTCCCTTTACCAATACCAAGGTAGAGCTCAAAGCGGAAGACCTTAGATAACAATGACCTCAACCAGGTTGGCGTCCAGCGGTTTTAGTGAAAGTAAGGGCTTGGGTGGGGTGCTCAGTCTCGCGGGCTCGTAACCCTGGTCTCGGTCATTGTTATTGAAGGATTTTCGCCCAAAGCAGTCGTGAAGACTTAAAAAGACCACATAAAACCGGGTCTCGACAATATAGCCACGTTTATCTTCCGTGATCTGCTGTTGAACCACAAGACGCAGAGGACATACTTATGACATCAATAACAGTTAATTTTTTCAGTTGATAGCGCACCTGGTAAGGTCTTCGTGATATAATCTCCTTTCCCATCAGTCTAGTTCCTTAAATTTGAAAGTCTTCCGCGATAAAACAGACGGACCAGGGACAGCACCGTAACAATAGCTAACCAATTTGCGGGTTGACGTTTGGTTAGGTTGCAAGACAACGCTTTCAGAGTATTATAATCTTTTCAATAACTTCTCAAACCAAGAGGAAAAAAAAACAGATCCAAAAGTTTCTTCAGAAATGCTGTTAATTGGGCTAGAATTGGACTGAGGGAAGTGAAACAGTGTCGTTGAGAGATCGCTCCTCTGGTCAGATCATCGGTTCTACCGACACAACCAAATCTGTATTGGGCGGTCACCCCTTGGCAAGGAATGGCCAATTGATTTTTAATTATAATAATACAGGTTCACTGTCAAGTACAAACTTGATCAGCTAAGAAGCATATCAAACTAAAATACTACAAGCTACTAGACTAGATGACAAGTCTCCAACTAGCTCTTTGTGAACAGCCTCTCCAGTGAAATAACTAGTTAGGAGTGGAATAGATCACGTATACAAGCCTTAAACTCCTGAAATATCTAGCTCATACTCATTTGAAGGAGGTTTTTTTCCGGGAGACCCAAATACAATGCATATTTTTTCTTTCTGTTGTTTGAGCTCTCCACCACTCTTCTTTCTTTCTGGCTTCTGAAGTTTTAGGTTAGGATTCGGGGTAGCCAGGTAATTAGCGGTTACCTTGTCATGCAAGTTTTTGCTTGCAGGCAGGGTTCTAACAATAAATAGTGAACTCTGTTTTCCAAAAGCTGATGTTCAACAAGTAGACTTACCGGTGAAACTGAAGTAGGAATTCGCCATTTCCACATAGACCATAATTCCTCCGTTGTTCAACCCCTAAAATTTTGCTTAACCATCGTGTCTAATTTCTCCTGGGTATTACAGTATTATATTTAATATTTATGAATATTTTTTGTAAGAAAGTACGGTATTCAAAGCATCAACGAAATGGCTTTTAAAAGACTGTAGCTTTAGGCGCGAGTTTTCGATTTCCCGCCATCAGATTTGATGCGCCCACGCAATTGTCGTTCAGTGGATTCACGCATGCGCATGCAAAATGCCCTCCTGTTCGGTGGGCCTATACCTTCTAACTCTCACTATAAATATGTCAAGTCTCACCCCTGTGGACTTAAGACATTAATTGCTCTTGCGCATCAAGGACAATTATTTCTCACACCTTACTCACAAATCCAGACAAATTGTTCTTAACGCATGTTAGTAACCAAACTTTAATTCAATCCGAAAATTATTCCAAAAAGGTGCTTAATGTTGACTTTTTGTCCCACTTGTATCACAACACGCTTAAATTGTTGCCTTTTAAATAGATTCGGAAAAGCTCAAAGATTGCCCAGACATCTTTGGACATTGCCGGCATACTTCAGAAGTCCTTGGAAAACCTTGGGAAATCCTCAGAAGTCATTGGGACGTTATCGAAAATTCCAGGCATGACAAGACAAAAATCTCACACACATTTGACTCAGAAGAACTTGGCAGGTATATTGCCCCCACCGCTCCTCTATAGCTACCCCCTTTTATGTATCAACAATGTTCAGGGAAAAGAAAACAAAGAACAGAGCTTTGCTGTCGTGTTACTAGTGGGTGGCCCTTGGCAATGCAACTTATTTTTGCCATTTGGGCAACTAGGAAATCTTAGCCTTTACACAAGAACTTAACGCTCAGCACCTGATTATCGTAAGGTTTAGAGTTTTTTTCTTGGGCTCCCTTGAATTTTAGAAACCGTAAAGAGATTTTAAGCAACAGACGTTGAAAGTGCAGACCCATTTTAGATTAAACTTTGAAAAGGTAATTAAGG